AAGCATGAGGTTCCTCTCCAAGGAGTAAACTCTCCTAGCAACATGCCCAAAGAATGTGAGAGGAAACTTCATCTTTGCCTGCAAGGAGCACTTTACCTGCTCCTTCTCCAAGACATACCTGCATATCCTTTTGGCATTCTGTGGGCTCTTTAGCACTGTTCTCCAACACCACAGTTCAAAGGCATCAACTCTTCTGTTATCCTTAGTTACTGTCCAGCTCTCAGATGTATAGTAAAGAATGACTTCATTACTGTTCAATAATTTGGAGAGATCCCTGACGACAGACTTTCCCAGTGCACTACATCTCCTGATCTCCTTACTGTTGGTACCAAAACCAAGTGTATTGATTGTGAAACCAAGTAAGATGAAGTCATCAACAGTCTTAATCTTTTCTGCATCCATCATTATGTTGCCTGTTGGTCCTGTGGTAAAGATTTTTGTTTTCTTGGTGAGATGGAATCTATATTGAAGGCTGCAGTGTTTAACCTTCTGCAGCAAGTGATTTAGGTTCTCTCAGTTTCAGCAAGCAAGGAAATAATGAAACTTATTGATGAGTCTTCCTCCAGTTCTGATGCCATGTTTTCCTTCATGGAGTTCACCTTCTTGAATAATTTTCTCAACATACTACTAGTCCACCATCTAGCCCTCACACAGAATATCGTTTCATAATATCAAGGTCTTTAAAATATGACTTATTAGTGTCACACTTTTGCCATATGCTTTTGAGTTGATCCTGGCTCTTGGAACCTGAATATGCATTATAGCAGAACCATGCACTGTAGTGTTTTTTTTTTTTTTTTTTTTTTTTTGGAGGGGGCACCTGGATGTAGTGTTTTTAAATGACTTATTTTCAAGTCTTTCTTCAGAGATGTCTGTCTGTGAGGGAAGTTCAGGCCACCAACTTCTTGGTTCCTAGTCAAGTGCTTAACCACATCCACCGAGGGACTCAAAACCAAAAAAGTAGAAACTAGTGACTCATATGAAGCTGTGGTGGCACAGTCTCTAGGGAAATTTGCTGCTACCCCAAAGGCCACATTTCTGTGCTAGATCAAACCCAATAAGCAGTTCTGGAGGAGAAAGATATTCCTATCTTTCCTCCATGCATTTTATAGCTTTGAAAATGAAGGGTCAGCTGAGTTCATTCTGACTCAACGGCAATGAGTGAGTAGTGACTTAGTATCTTTGTTGTTGTTGTTAGGTACCATCGAGTTGAGCATGACTCATAACCACCCTATGAACAAAAGACCTGAACCCTATTCTATTCTACACCATCCTCACACTTCCTGACACATAAGAGCCCTTTGCAACAGTCACCATGTCAAGCCACATGGTTGAAGGTCATTCTCGTTTTCACCGGCCCTCCATCCTTCCTGGCATCATGTCCTTCTCCAAGGAGTAGCACCTCCTAGCAACATGTCCTAAGCATGTGAGGCTAAGCCTTATCATTCTTGCCTCCAAAGAGAACTCCAACTGCACCTTCTCCAAGACATAGACTATAGGTCAGACCATCAATTACTCATATTCAGTTCAAATTGAGGGAGAGGAAAATTAAAATAAGTCCACAGGAACCAAGATATGATCTTGGATCAATTCTATCTGAATTTCACGAGCATCTTAAGAATAGATTTGAGGCATCAACCACCAGTGATCAAAGACCAGATGAGTTGTGGGATGATAGCGAGTATATCATCCATGAAGAAAGCAAGAGGTCATTCATTACAAAAGCAGGAGAGAAAGAAAAAATTGTTAGTATCCTTAAGGCTAATTACAATGGATGTTAGCTACTGAGGCCCTACTACAGTTGATGGTATGTGTTTATTCTGTCAATACCATTTTTCAAAACAGCTCCCATGTGGCTTGACTTTGGGGGTTGGGATGCAGACTTGTGTAATGGTGATGGATCTCGGGTGTTAGGACAGCGTTATGCAACCCTGCATTTTTATCATTCTAATGACTATGGTTGGACAGAGGAAGCTTACTTCCCCTGTCAGCTATTTATACAAGCTAATCAGAGGCTTGATGCAATGCAGATGGTGATAACCTTGCACTAGACAGAGTTCGTGTTGAATTTTTCTTTGGCAGCAAAGAGTTTACTTCATTCATTATTCTATATTTCTCTTTCTTAAATAGAAATTCTCTTTCTTAAATGCCTCACACAAGGTAGCAGCTGAGGTAAACTATTTCAGTAACTGTAAAAAAAGGGAAATCAAGTACCGTGCCTGTACCGTAACACATTCCATAAGTTTCATCACAGATCTAATTACTTCTTAAATCTTTGGGATGAAAATTATTTCTCTGTTGGACTGTGTTGTTGTTCAAGAACGGTGAAGCACTAAGATTGGAGATGCAGTAAATTATTTTCAGTAAATCATCCTCCTTTCCTCTATCTTTCCAGGCCATTCCAAATCTGATATTGTGTAATTCTTTGCTTGGACTAGGAGTCCTGGTATTCTTCTTGCTCTTTTTAGCTTACTATATTGTCTTGCCAGGAGATATAAGGATTCCTGTAAACGCTTAGCAGTCTTCTATGAGAAAGGAAGACAAAAATAGAAAATAGAATTCTGTGTCGTTTGTCATGTGTGTAAGAGTTTTGTGTAAAGTGTTTTGTGTCTAAATCCTGACCTGGATGTTATTGACATTCTTCTCTTGGGTGTCTTCAATTTGGCATTGACACAGGATGAGCCTGGTTATAACAGAACGAAAGCCCTCTTGAGCCCGGACATCCTCACAGTCCCTCCTGTGCTTACGTCCATTGTTTAGTCACTGTGTCCAGCTGTCTCCTTGAGGGTCTTCCCCTTCTTCGCTGGCCCTCTCCTGCTTTTCCAAGTATGATGTCTCTTCTCAGGGTCTGGCCACTCCTGACAACATGTTCAGACTTTGTGAGACAAAGTCTCCCCTTTCTCACCTGTAAGGATCGTGCTAACTGTACCTCTTCTAAGATGGAATGTTTTGTTCTTTTGGCGATCCATAGTGCATTCACTGTTCTTCACCAACACCACAATTCAAAAGTATCACTTCTTCATTATTCACTGTCAAGGTTTTACATGCATATGAGGCAATTGAAATACTGTGGCTTCACTCAGGAGCAGCTTAAACTGTTATCCTTGCTTTTTTAGCACTTTAAAAGTTCTTGGCATTATGGCCGTTGTATGGACGAATGCCCATTATAGCATACGATTTGATTTCTTGACAATTTTCAACCTTGGACACCCAGAGGAGTATCATTAGGAGTTGGGAGAGTCTAACCAGCAGTAGGTTTGTTTGGGTTTTTTAGACAAATTATACTCATTAGTGTGAAATAAGATAAAAATTTTTATCATAATATCTATTAACATAAAAAAAGTAGAATCAAAGTGTCATTCTTCTTGCCTACTTCCTGAAAATCATACAGTGTTTTAAGAATTGTTGCTGAGGGAGCTCTGGTGGCCTAGTGGCAAGAAGCTGCATGGCCATCTCGAAGGCACTGAAGAAGGAGGGGCAATCTCCTCCTGTGCCAGTCAGATCTGAGTCGATGGTACACAACAAGAAAACAAAACAAAACAAAACAAAGCAGAAAAAAAATTGAAAGAATTATTGCTGGATAAAATGAAATTATTTCTAAGCATTTGCTAGAAAAAAAAATATCTTGTCACTGACTTACCTACCCATTTTTAATGAAAAGTGTCAAAAGCAAAGTGAATGATAATGATAGAGTCCCTACAGATTTTCTTGTGACTTTACTGTTTAAGGATATAAAACATCTGTCATAGTAAATGGAAAGCTTCTTTAAAAAGTTTCTTGTATCTGTTTCTTGAATAGTGTATAACCTTATAAAACATGATTCACTTGTTCTAAAATAACAAAGCTCAGATTTAACAAAGGATCAGATTTAATGAATCACTGTTTTTCTATACTACAATAGTACACCACCAAAAGCAGCTGATTTTGTGCTAATTCTGGGTGGCCCAAAATAGATGAGCTATTGAATCAATTCTACAATTTTGAATGAGCATTGGGAAAATAAACATTGTAGGCAGCTTAGCCGTCAGTTAGCTCTGATTGAAATGGCATGCTCCATTAAAGTTTGCATCCAGAAGCTATTGGGAAGCTGTTAGGCAGGACTATATTTATACATGCATTTCTTTTGTATGTTTGGAATATATAACCGCTTGCTCTCAGGTGAGCTTGAACTCACAGAGATGCCATATATACCAGAGAAGAGTTGTGTACCAAAGAATTGTCAGTGACTGAGTTGGTGATGGTGGATATTTTGCAAGTAGATGACCAGACTGATTTTTCAAGGTGTCTTTGAGTGGACTTGAATTTCCAACCTTTTTGTCAACAGCTGAGTGTGTTGGCCATTTGTATCACTGAGGGACTTCTCAGATTATGTGTGTGTGTGTGTGATCATGTACACACACGTACACACATGTACTCATATGTATACCAAAAAGCCAAAACTCAAGTCTCATAGTCACCCTCTGTCAGGTTCCTGACGCTGAAAAGCTTAGCCTTAGCCAGATGAAACCTTTTATCTTCTTCCTCTGAACAGATGCTGGATTCGAATATTTTGAATATTCCAAATACATATGTGGGTGAGTATGTTCATACGTTTACCTGCAAGTAGATACCTAGGCCTCAGATCATACTTTGTTCACATTTGGAAAGTCTGACAATCAATAAATAATAGTTTACTAGTAAATGAGGTTATTAACTAAAAAATAGTTTACCAGGAGATGATATTGTTAAGAAATTCACTCCACAAACATGTGTGGCCCTTCATTAGCAAATTAGATACCAGTAAAATGCTACCAGTAGTATGTTTTCAATGATTTTGATGTTTATTATGGTTGTATTAGACACCATGAGGGGCTGTATGCAGGCTATCTATGCTGATTTCCTTGCCCCTCCCTTGTCAATGATTCCTAACCCCAATCCTGTGAACTACTGATGTCGTTCACATGCAAGGAGAAGTGCTGATAGGCAATAAAATAAAAACCTCATGCTTTCTTTCTTTACAGCAAATTCTTCGTCATTCTAGAGAAAACTCAACAAAAGTCATATTTCTCATTACTGATGGCTATTCCAATGGGGGAGATCCTAGACCGATCGCAGCATCACTGCGGGATTTTGGAGTGGAGATCTTCACTTTTGGCATCTGGCAAGGAAACATCCGGGAGCTGAATGACATGGCTTCCCCTCCAAAGGAGGAACACTGTTACCTACTCCACAGCTTTGCAGAATTTGAGGCTTTAGCTCGCCGGGCACTGCATGAAGGTAATGGACTCCTGGTGGCATAACAAATGTGCCTTGAAATGGGGTTACCTTTGCTCCTCCTGCCTGAAACCCCATGGAGAGTCCAACCAAATGTTCATGAAGACTTAGATGAGCGTGATAAACATTTATCCTTGTGAGATGAGCTGAGTTTCAGGAATAGAGATGACATTTTGACCTCACAATGAGGTACTGGTTTTACTGCTTTTAACAGCTGTGATATACTGTCATTAAAAGCCCCATACATTCCCACCTGGAACTATTAGAATCAATGGAATGAATTTAGGTGTGTTTCAAGGCCACACAGAGAGTGGGAAGCCCTGATTTAGAGCTCATTTACAGTGAGCTGGACAGATGAAGTAAACATTCAGAGGCATGCGTAGAGAATCTCACTGGAACATTTCCAGAAATACACATGATGATACAGGGACAATAATTACTTGACATATGCTTCTTGATTTGGCAATTTGAAGATGTCTTATTTCCCCCTTTCTGGCTATCACTTTTGAATCACCCAAACTTAAAAATTGGGTCTGTTCTGATTTTGCTTCATCAGCCATGACTGAACTAATCTGAGCCAGCTGTAATCTGTTGATTTGAGTTCTTTGTCAACCATTTATGAGGATGTTAAACTACCTTCTCTTATGTGGATGGTGATCCAGAGGAAAACACAAACTGGGAGAAGACGTAAGATCTAGACTCAAACTAAAGTGATGTTGCCAGTTAGACTTGATCCTTGCATGCACAAGTTCAAGTTGATGGTATTTCTTTGCAGCATGGGGTTGATTAGAGATGCTTATAACCAGCAGGTCAAGCCGAATCTAGTTCCAAGAAAAGAGTATAGAACAGACTCTCAGCCAGTGGCCTATTCTATACAAAAAGGATTTACCTCAGCAAAGTTAATGGAGGTTAATGGAGTTAGTGAAGTGGGCAAGGATTTAGGGTGGGACTTAGAAGTAGCCAGAAAATTGATTTTTTGAAAGTAGTGTAAATTTTAGATTGCAGAGATGATGATATTGGCTCAGGATAGGGCATGGTTCAGAGGTGTTGTACATAGGGTGCTATGAGTTGCAGATGATTCAGTGGCACATAATAACAACAACACGGTTTAATGAGGTCAAGTTTTTTGTTACGGTTTTAAGTTTGAATCTCAGTTCTACCTGAGTCACAGTGAGTTTTGTCCAGGGCTTTAGGGTTTGTTTGTTTTGGCTTTAACAAACAAATCAGTTTAATTTTCTTATGTTTTCGCTCTGGTGGCCTAGTGAGTAAAGAGTTGTGCTGCCAACCCAAAAGCAGAGGGTTTAAATCTATCAGCTGCTGTTTGGGAGGGAGACAGGCAAACTCCTCACATGGGATTTACTGACTGTGAAGCCCCGCTAGAGGGTTAGATAAGAGTCTTTTCTGACTAGACAGTACATAGCAACATTTTAGGAGACCAGAAGTACAGATTCAAGGTGTCAATTTTAGGCAAAGACGCCCTCCCTCGGTCATTTCTGGAGTAAGGTCCTTTATTTTTCAGCATCCTTGGAGTTCTCCATGAATGTCAAGGAGTTTCCTTAAATAGAGACTTGAATCCAGAAGTACACACTCCACTCCTGGCAGGTCTTTCATGGAAGTACTGTGGTCTCTTTAGCTCATTTTCCTCTCCTTTTAACTCTAGTGAGGTAAAGTTTTATAGTCCACACCATAGGACACTCCCTTAGATAGAGGAGGGCTGTAATGGGATTAAGTGATGTTGTTGTTATGTGCCCCAAAATTTGTGTATGTAATAATAAAAAGTGAAAACTATATAATGATCACCTGTGATCCACGATCAACACTCTTGGCACCAGCAACCAGGAAATTAAAAGACATATTGTGCTGAGAAAGTCTGTTGTTAGAGACCTCTCCAAACTACTGAAGAGCAATGATGCCAGTCTGGATACAAAGGTGTGCCTGATACAGGCTGTGGTCTTTGCAATTACTTGCTATGCATCAGAGAGATGGACATGACTAGGGAGGATGAAAGGAGAATTGATACTTTTGAGCTGTGGTGCTAGAGAAGGGTATTGAATATACCATGGACTGCTAAGAAAATGAACAGGTTCATCCTAGAGAGGGTTAAGCCAGGCTGTTCCTTGCAGGCAAGGATTCTGAGGATCTGACATACTTTGGACATGTTGCAAGGAGGGACCAGTCCTAGGAGAGGGACGTCATGCTTGGGAGGGTGGAGGGTCAGCCCAGGAGAGCAAGATCCTCTTCAGGGTATTTGGGGTAGGTGTGTCAGAGACAGTGAGGTTGGCACAGGGTTTAGGGCTGTAGTACAAAGGGTTGGTGATGAGTCGCAGGCAACTTGACAGCATATAACAACAAACAACATGATCTGATAAACCAAATATTTCTACAAATAATTGTAAAAGAATAAAAGTAGAGATGGATTGATACAGTAACTAGGGCAGTGGGGGTAGATGAGACTGACTCAGGACAGAGCAGGCTTCAGAGCTGTTGTACATGGGGTCGCTATGGGTCACAGGTGGGATGTGCTGTGCAGATCTTTTCTAGAGATCAAAGGTCAGAGAAAGCAGAGCAGCCTCAGTCTCAGTAAAGTCAAAATCTCTTGGATCTCAAGGTGTAGAGCATGGATTCTGGGGTTTCTAAGGCTAGAGTTACAGCCTCTTTCTTGCTCCAGCAGATGTGACAAAAAGCTCCTTAGCACTACCAATCAATGCTCAGACACATCCCACTCCTCTAATAAGTCTTTGGGCCAGAGCTTTGGATAAATTCATCCTGGTTCCTTTCATGGCCAACAAAGTAATACAATAACAGACCTGAATTTTCAAAATGTGGGTAAACTGGATCACTAACCAGAATGGGGAAATATTATGAGTGGAAGCCCTGCTAGAAAGCTAATATCCCTCTTAGAAAACAAGGGCAGCTTGAACAATGCATAACAAGCAAGTGTCTTGACTGCCTGAGTAAAAACAGCAGTGCCTGCTTAAGGATGGCTGCTGTGCTGTTTTGAGTGTATGTTGCTTCCACGTCCTGGCAATAATCCATGCTCAGGCTCCTGAAAGGGCACACCATGCTTTCTAGGAATCTCCCATCTTTACAGTTTAAACCGACCATTTTCCCATTTCTGGCTACCATTCTGGATCATCTAAATTTTAATTGTTTCTATTCTCCTTTTGCTTTGTCAGCTATGGACATGTAGTTTAATTTTTGGATGTCTTGGGCCTCATGTTGATTTCTTGTTGCTGTTTTTGTTTGCCATCAAGTCAGAACTGACTCATGGCTGACCCTCCAGTGGGTTTTCAGAGGCAGTAAATCACATGGGAGGAGGCTGACCATCCTTCTCCTGCAGAGCAGCTGTTGTATTTGAACTACCTGCCTTCAGGATTGCAGTGCGGCTTCTTACCACTAGGCCACCAAGTCTCTCCCTCATAGGAACAAAAAATAGTTCCTGCTTTGTTACATTGCTGTAAGGACTAAATCAATTAGTACATATAAAAAGATTAGACTAGTAATTGGCAGTTTTATTTAAGCCCTCATCTACCACTGACTTTACCTTACATCACTAACCTTCCATTTCTTCTGATCCTCAAATGGAGAGTGTAGTAGTTACGAATCAAAAATCAAAACCCACTGACCTCAAGTCTATTTTGACAGAGTAAAACTGTCTCAGTTAGTAGCCTGTCACTTTAACTGTGTGTCACTGAGTCTAACTAAAACAAAGTAAAATATTACTTATATTACACTAGTATATCAACTATTGTTTCTAGCATGTGACAGAAATTCAACTAAATGGGAAACAGAATGGTGGTGTTTGATGATTTGAGGTATTATTAGATAGGATTCTAGGGCTACAGATGTTGTTATAGGTGTTGTGAAGGATTAAGTTCCATTCTTGTCAGTTCTCTGCTGCTTTGAAGAGAGATGATCCAGAACCTCAATGGAACAGAGCCTTTGAAGAAAGCATTTTGGTTACCATAACTCAATAGGGTATTGGGAGACACCACTTTTATTACAGTAAATTAATATCTAACGTGTATGTGCTTTTGGCTGAATGTCTACACTTGATAAGGGGAAACACTGTCTTTATTGAAAAGACATGATCAGTTAAAAGGAAGGGAGCCTCATTTCCCTTGCCTTTATGTTTTGTAACTTTCAGTTTGAATGGATCCATCCTTGGTTTCAAGATTGTCCCATGCTTCTGACCATTCTTGATAGACATAAGATAAGGAATCCCAATTTTCTCCAAATGTATCTAGTCCACTCCTCTGTCTCCCAGACCTGAATGGTAGTGTTCTAGTCCTGGTTCAGTTTTTGTTTTGCCCTCATTTTCTCCACTGAGGAACTCTGGTGACGTAGTCAGTAGGGAGTTGTGCTGCTAATCCAAAGGCGGAACCTGGTGGTTCAGATCCACCAGCGATACTTGGGAAGAAGATGAGCCATCTCCTCCCAGTGTGACTTCCTGCTTCTGAAAACCCACTGAAGGGTGAGAGAGGAGTCGATTCTTTCTCACCAGCAGTTATGAATTAGTGAACTTGCTCCATTACCAAGTAAACCTGAGAGCCATGCCTCTGAGCTCAGTGCTGGGCATTCAGTTGCAGTGCATGCTCTGTTGGATAAGCAGTAATAGAGTGCCTGGATTTTCTGGTCACTTTCCCTGTGGGCTGGAATCTCCCCAGTATTTTGCCTTTATCTAGTGTTCAGAAAGTCAAGGACTGCAGTCTTCAATATGGATTGAAGCTCAATATCAAGAAAACAAAGATTCTTACCACTGGGCCAATTGGCAGCATCAGTATGGATGGTGAAGAGATTGAGATAGTTAACAGTTTTCGTTTACTTGGTTCCACAGTCAACACTCTTGGTAACAGCAGCCAGGAAATCAGGAGACGAATTGCATTGGGAAAGTCAGCTGTGAGGGACCTCTCAAGAGTACTGAAGTGCAATGATGTCAGGCTGGAGACTAAGGTGCGCCTGATCTTTGCAGTTACGTGCTGTGCATCAGAGAGTTGGACAGTGAATAGGGATGGTAGAAAGAGAATTGATGCCTCTAAGCTGTTGTGCTGGAGAAGAGTGTTGAATATACCATGGACTGCTAGGAGAACAAACAGGTTTGTCCTGAAGAAGGTGAAAGCCAGAATGTTCCCTGGAGTCAAGGATTCTGAAGCTTCATCTGACATACTTTGGGCATGTTGCAAGGAGGGACTGGTCCTTGGAGAGGGACATCATGTTTGGCAGAGTGAAGGGGCGGCAAAGGAGAGGAAGACCCTTGATGAGATGGATCGATTCTGTGAGTGGAGTGGTGGGAATGAATGTGTTTGAGACAGCGAGGTTGGCACAGTATAGAACGGCGTTTAGGGCTCTTGTAGATAGGGTCGCTATGAGTCGCAAGTGACTTGATGGCACATAACAACAACAACAAGTGTTCAGAGCCATAACGTACAGGGACAGATGTTCCAGGAGTTGAGACCATCATTAATGTCCTTCAGAAGTATTCACCTGCACCCCTTGTGCCTTACTGAGTCTTACACAAATCATTCAGTTCTTCCATGGGTCTGCGAATATGTTCAGCCAAACCTCATGGATCCAGCACTAGAACTAAGTTCACCTTGAACCCTTTCAACAAAATAAATGCACTTACCATTTGCCAGATTCTGGGCCATACATTTTGGGTCAGCTTGACTAAGGATTACAGAAGAAGAATTGATGCTTTTGAATTGTGGTGCTGGAGAAGAGTCTTGAACTTACCATGAACCAGCAAAAAAACAAATAGATCTGTCTTGGAGAAGGTGAAACCAAGTTTCTCTTTGGAGGCTAGGATTTTGAAGATCCATCTCACATACTTTTGGCAAGTGGCCAGGAGGGACCGGTCCTTGGAGAAGGACATCATGCTCGAAACGGTGGAGGGACAGAGCAGGAGAGGAAGACCCCGAATGAGATAGATTGATACAGTAAATGGGGCAAGGGGGATTGGTGTGTTGGAATGAGTGAGACTGGCTCAGGGCAGGGTGTGGTTCAGAGCTGCTGTATTAGGGTCACTGTGGGTCACAAGCTACTCAATGGCATATAACAACATATTGAACCTGAGGAACTTGGTAGTGCTGTGACTATGACATTCAGCTGCTATCCAAAAGGCGAAAGTCTGTTGTCATAAAGTTTTATAGCCATGATAATCCTCTGGAGCAGTTCTGCTCTTCTTAGTGGGCCACAGTCAGTCAGAATTTACTCTAGGGCAGTGGGTTTGGGTTTTTTGTTGTTGTTTATATGGAACCTTTCCTTGCCCTGTTAAGGTAAGGATATTTCTGAATATCTCTGCATAAATTGTTCAGTTCCCAGCATGCCTCTCTTCTCAGCCTAACTCCAGTAAACAGAACAGTCTCTATTTAACTAACACGTGATAATTTATTTAAAATCAGAAAATAAAATGGATCGTGATTCTGTCATTTCATTTCTCTGGTGCTATTATTTTAAAAGTCTGTAAACATAGCACTACACACAGAGTATTATGTATTCGTAAGTCAGTAGCTGATGGTCAACACCCTTTCACAGCAGTCAGGGTTGTGGTTTTAGTTCTAATTTGAACAAGCATTTTGGAGATCTGGCTGGGCTGGCTGACCTCACTCCGAGGCAGTGAAACAGTGCTGGTGCGGAGGCCAGGGGAGTGACCTGGGACCTGACTGCATTACTTCCTGCTGCATCTGGAGAGTCCTTGCTGAAGTATTTCATTTCTGCCTGACCCTGCATGGCCCCGAGAAATTAGGGTGAAGTCCCAGACTGAAGCGCTTTAACTGGCTGAAACTAATTCACAGACTGCGCTAGTGCAAATCATACACATTCATACTTGGGTGGGGATGGGGAGCAGTTGGGAATTAGATGGATGTGAAAAGATATTTTCTCCATCCCATGTCTAGATTTGGGAGACCAGACAGTGTTAACATTCAGCTGCTCATTAATTTTTTTTTCATTGCTCTCTGTTGTATGTCATTGGTAGATCTGCCTTCTGGGAGCTTTATTCAAGAGGATATGTCCCATTGCTCATATCTCTGTGAAGCCGGCAAAGATTGCTGTGACCAAATGGCAAGCTGCAAATGTGGGACACACACAGGTCAATTTGAGTGCATCTGTGAAAAGGGGTATTACGGAAAAGGACTGCAATATGAATGTACAGGTGAGTCTCCAATCTGTATGTAAATGTAATTGTGTCATTTATGTCTTGCTGTGTAACAAATGACCCCTGCATTCAATGGTTTCAAACAAGTTTATTATTGTTCATGAGTCTGTGACTCGGCTGGGCAGCCCTTTTGTCTGAATTGTAAAGGCCCACGAACTTGCAGCCAGCTTTGGATTTTGAGTTGAGTATGCTGGATTGGTTGCTCTTCTGAGTTTACTTGGCTTCTCTTGCAAGTTTACAATTACAGTTCTTACAATTACAGCTGCCTGTAATCTGGTCTAAATTAGCTTTGCCTTGGGCAACTGAACTGTCCTCTGTGTGGCTTCTCATCTTCCATCAGGTTTATGAGGACTTATTCACGTGGTGGCAACTGTGATCCAACAGGAAGAATGCGAGCTTATAAATGCAGGTTCAGAACAGAAAGGAGAAAGATACGGAGACTCCTTTCTAATCAATCTGACAGATTTGCCAAATCTACCCTCTCACACTTCTTGCTGATAGCTGTTGTTAGTTGGCCACGACTCATGGAAACAGGACAAGACACTGTCCAGTCTTGCTCCATCCTCATGACGGCCATTGAAGATCAGATTGTGGTCTTCTGTAGAGTTTTCACTGGTTGAGATCTTTGTTGGTAAATTCCACTGAAACCTGTCCAGCATCATAGAAACTTCCAGTGGCACAGCCAGGTGGTGGCTTGTCTGGAGGCAGGTGTGATGGGTGAGAATTGAACCCAAGTCCCTTACATGGAGGAGTAAGGTCTAGCCCTGATTCACCAAAGCCCTCTCTCAAGCCAAAGTAGGCCCTACTCTCCCTGTGAAATTAAAGCCAGTGGATTTCCAGAACCCAAGCCATATGTGGTTTATGAGATCACAAAAAGTACACCATTCATTTGATTGTCTTTGGACTCTCAAAAGTCTCCACAAAGGAGCCACAAAAAGTTCTCTAAGCCTCGTCATGATTTTCCCTTAATGACCTTTGCGTCTTTGCTCCGGAAGTTCCAGAGGAGGGATATTGGTGCATTTTCTTTTTCATTATTTTATTGGAAAAGGAAGACTAACTCTTTAGAATCCTTGTGGTCTGCATTATCATTTAGGACAGGCCTAATATTTACAAGTAGAATGTAGCTTTCCTGTGTTTGGCAGCATTTTTCTAGCTCATTTGTTGTTTTTACCTAAAAAGCAACATGTTTTTCATATTCACAGCTCTTCTGTGATTCTCTGTTTTGGGTAATTGCATCCCCATGGAAATTAACACTTAATTGGAAAATCTAGCAGCAGTAGGTTTATTTTATGCTGTACCATGTGGTCTTGTATTGGTTGTTTGTCATAAGCGTTACTTTGAGCTGACAGCTGTAGGTAAGCCTGCTTACCTAGGCACTGAAAGGTGCCTCTTTCTGTCTCTCATGCTTTCTGTCCCTCCTGTCTCCTCTTCCTTCTGAGATATTTCCCCTTGTGTATTCTTTCTCTCTTGTTTTCTTCTTGGTCCTCACCTCCCTTCCCCCACTGGGCTCTGATCCCAGCTGACAGACACAACCCTTCCTGGGTCTGACCATCCATGCTCACCCAGCAGAAGCACTCTGTTCTTGGCTGAGCTCCTGCCTCGCCAGCAGGCTTTCTCACTTATGCAGAAAAGGGCGGGTGGGGAATCAGTCCAACTGCCTTGGAGTTGGCAAAATGCCTCTCCTTGTTTCCCCCTCGCCTTGACTCTTCCCACAGTCTCATCAGCAGCCCAGCTTGGCGCTCTCCCCTGCACCCCCTCCCTCACACCTCCATCCTGACCCTCCAAGCACAGGCAGAAGCTCTCCATTTCTTTGCTCCACGCTGTAGTCAGCATGTCTGGTTCCCATGTGGTCTTAGACTGAGCTGTTCCTTGCCAGTAACCCACTGCCATGTGGCAGCCCACAGCCTCAGCCACACTGTGCTGTGCCCCCACTGCTCCATGCCACTATTAATCTTGCATCTCAGGGGATAAGCTGAGGGAAGAAAGAGTAGTTCACAGTCCCACTGTTTCCATTTACGCAAACTACCGTGGCTGTTACAGGAAGTACATTCTCCAGACCAGAAGGCACAGCAGTGGATGAAATGTGCAAGGTTGAATGTGCCTGTCCTTTGAGCACTGTTGGAGGAAAAGAGGACCTTTTGATGCTGGTTCTCCCCAGGAACATCAAGCACAAAAGGGCTAGTTTGTTTATCTGTCCCATCCCTTAAATTGGCAAATTGACATTTAATTCTTAAACACAGATTTAAATTAGATGTAGTTCCAGCAATGCAAGTGTTTAGGTTGTTATTTTCATTATTTGTGTCTGAGACAATAGGAAAAATAGCATTGATGTGCATGTGTGCACTGTGACTGAGTACTTGACTAGTCAACTATCATTGACTTCTCTAGCTTAATGACCTAATGCTAAGAGGAAAATAGGGTTGTCGGTTAGGTTTGTCCTAGAGAAGGTTAAACCAGGCTGCTCCTTGGAGGCAAGGATTCTGAAGCTTTGTCTGACATTCTTTGGACATGTTGCAAGGAGGGACCAATCCTTAGAAAGGGATGTCATGCTTGGTCGGGTAAAGGGACAGAGCAAGTGAGGAAGATCCTCTGGGAGGTGGATTGATTCAGTGACTAGGATAATAGTGTAGGTGTGTCGGAGACAGTGAGATTGGCACCGGACAGAGCAGGGTTTAGTGTTCTTGTATATAAGGTCACTATGAGTCACAGGTGATTTCATGGTATATAACAACAACAAGAGGAAAATGGATAAATTAATATTTTTATGATACAAAAGGTTCATTACCAGACTCTTTTTGTCCAAAAATCAACAAAGAAAGAACTTTAGATAATCTACAACTGAAAACCTGGAGAGATTCAATGGTGAGTAAACTTCCTTGGAATTTGCAATATAACCACACAAATGAATGTGTATTTACAGACTGTGATATATGTGCTATGGAAATGGTACATGGTATGGTACCCAGAGAAAACCAAACTAAGATGCTGATATTGTTAGGTGCCATTAACGCTACTCTGACTCATAGTGACCCTGTGACCAATAGGTCTGAACATTGCCCTGTCTTACACCACCCTCGCAATCTATGATACACTCAAGTCCATTTTTACAGTAATTGCATTGATCCTGTTTTTGGAGGACCTTCCTCTCTTTCTCTGATCTTCACCTTTCCCAGCATAATGCATTTTTCCAAGGACTTGCCCCTCCTAATATGTAATATGTAAATATGTAAAACAAAGTTTCACCGTCTTTGCCTCCAAAGTGCACTTTCTCCAAGACATTTGTTCTTTGGCAGTCCATGGGATATTCATTACTCCAACACCACAGTTCAGAGACGTTGATTCTTCTGTCATCCTTATTCACTGTCCAACATTCAGATGCATAGGAATCAATGGAAAATACCCTGGGTCTGACCAGGCACACTTTAGTCTTGACTCCAGCTATGTTATTGCTCCAGGAGGGGATGCTAGTTTTCATTCTGAAAGTTTGGAATTCTGAGTATTTATCCTCGCTAAAGAAGCAATGCCTTTGAAAAGCAAATCATTTCTTTTTAAAGCCAAGAGGAATCTTAGAGATTGTCTGTTCTATGTAAAAGGAAATTGAGGCCTAAGGAAAGAGTAATATTTTGAAGAACGTAAGATGGCGACCCAGGACCCTTTTCTTTGAGTCTTCTGTTATTAAGATTTGAAACCACTTCTTTTTCTTGGTTTTTTTTTTCTTTCTTTTTTAAATACTGGTTTATTTACAAAGTTCAAATACATTGTTTTTTCACCAGATCATTTTCATTTCCTTCACCCCCACTCTTACCCTTCAAATGACCCTATCAGTAACTCCCCGATCCTCACCCCTCTGCTTCCACATTCTCCCCCTCCCTTGAATCCTCATATTCATTCTACAATAATGGCTTTATGCCGTTTTTATCCTAATGGGGCTGAGTTAGTTCACTCAGCTTAATGCTCTCCAGTCTCTCTCAAGTTAGGTACTCATTTACAAAAATTTATAAAAATTTGCTCCTGTGTACTCTGTAGTACTCTATTGTGTGAATGTACCATAATTTCTCAATCCATTCGTTTGTGGTTGGACATCTGGCTGTTTCTGTGTTCTTGTGATGGTGAATAACGCTGCTATGAACGTTCATCTACACATCTCTGTTTGTGCCTCAGTTCTCATTTTTTCGGGGTGTATTTCAAGCAGTGGAATAGCTGGGTCATATGGAATATCTGTATTCAGCTTTCTGAGGAAGTGCCAGATTGCCTATTTTTCCTTTTTAAAAGTAATTCCTTATACATACTGCTTTCTAGATGCCATAGACACCAAACTGTGCTCAAAATTGTATTTAAAATTACAAAATGATCAGACTAGAATCTAATCTGTAAGCTACAAACTGTGTATCTTTAGACATACATGGTTTGGTTGTTAGTTTCTTCTGTAAAATAGGCTTACACACACACTCACACACACACACACACACACACACTCCTTTCAAGCTGCAACCAAAGTCTCTTATCCTTTTCCCTCTTTTCTTTTTATTCTTCATTGTACTTTGGGGAATCATGAACAGAGGTCAGAACATTCATATATCAGTACTTCTCTCTCATCATAAATCAATGCTTTATAAAACTCAAGATATTTAAAAAATACATAATTGACTTTCATTTTCTGTAAATATCTTGGGAACTCAGAAACCCAGTCACAGAGTTCTAATACTACTATTAATTATTTGACTAAAATAATTGATAAAATGTCTTTTCCGAATTCTTAGTAGTCAAGTAAAAAAGCAGTAGTAGGCCTAAGCAAAACTCTGCAGGCTACTGAAGAAAGTGTTCCTTTCATTCCCCGCTCTGCCACTAGTGTTACTTTATTTACCCTGCACCTTCGACATAGTCACTAGGACGACAATGGTGATGAGGATGATAATTTTTAAAAAAATAAATAAGTCTTGCTAGTTTTGTTCGATGCCATCAAGTCAACTCATAGTGACCCTATGAACAACAGATCT